AGCAGACTCCCTGCTGAGCAGGGAACCCAATGCGGACTCGATCCTGGAACTCCAGGATCATGACCTGAGCCGAAGGCATTCGCTTAACCAACTGAGCCACCCACGTGCCCTCTTTAGTACCCATCACGAGGCTAACCCATTCCCCATCCCCCTCCCCTCTAGAACTCTCAGTTTGTTTCTCAGAGTCCATAGTCTCTCATGGTTTGTCTCCCCCTCTGATTCCCCCCCCCAATTTTCCCTTCCTACTATTCTTCTTTTTTTTAACATATAATGTATTATTTGTTTCAGAGGTAGAGGTCTGTGATTCAACAGTCTTGCACAATTCACAGCGCTCACCATAGCACATACCCTCCCCAGTGTCTATCACCCAGCCACCCCATCCCTCCCACCCCCCACCACTCCAGCAACCCTCAGTTTGTTTCCTGAGATTAAGAATTCCTCATATCAGTGAGATCATATGATCTTTGTGTTTTTCTGATTGACTTATTTTGCTTAGCATTATACCCTCTAGTTCCATCCATGTCATTGCAAATGGCAAGATTTCGTTTTTTGATGGCTGCATAATATTCCATTGTGTGTATGTATGTGTATATACATACATACATACATACATACACACACCACATCTTCTTTATCCTAAAATGGCTTTCTTTTTGAGCTTGTACTTGTGGGAGGGAGAGTAGATATTAAGCAGAGGAATAAATCTTTACAGTTACAGTTGCAATAAATACAATAAATAGTGTGATAGAAAAGAAGACAGTGTTACAAATACAAATAGTATATTTAGTCTGAGATTGAAGGGGTGGTGATGACCTCTTGGTGAAAATGTCATGTAAGCTGAGATTTAAGTGATTGGTAGGCGTTAGTTTAGTGAAGAAATGGACAGAGAGAATAGTATATGCAAAGGTACTAAGGTGGGAAGAATCATGGCTCAATATGTTCGTTCTTTAATACACTTATTTTGCCATGAAGAAATTTAAGTATATGATATCTACTTAATAATAATGTACTGGTCTATACTACTTTCCTAAAAGAACCAAATTTATCATGTAGTCCTATATCAATGATTTTTTAAAGATACTCTAAAAATATAAATGATTACCAATAGTAAAATATTAGATCCAGGTCTTAAAACTATCCTGGGAATTTATATAGAAGTTTCATTTCAATATGGAAGTTTATATAAGTTTGTGATATATAAAATATTTATGCTATATATCTATGTCTTTATACTATATGTATCTATATTATACTATAAATATGTGATAAAATTATATAGATTTATATACAAATACTTTGGATGACTGTTGGCATCTCATTATTGCTTATAGGCACCAGTCAGAAAGCCATTCAGTAAGAGGGCCTGTTTGGAGCCAGATACCCTGCTGTGCTACTTTTCTATCCATTCTCTGATCCACTTTATGCTTGGCTCCGATATCAATGGGAAAGATGCACAAATGATATGTTAACATCGCTTTTTTAAATAAGATTTTATTCATTTGAGAGAGAGAGAGATTGAGAGCACAAGCAGTGGAGAGAGGCAGAAGGAGGAGAAGAGTTCCTGCTGAGCCGGGAGTCCAATGTGGGGCTTGGTCCCAAGACCTGGAGATTATGACTTGAGCCAAAGGCAGATGCCCAACCATTTGAGCCATGCAGGAGTTCCCCCGCCTTTTTTGTTTTTATTTTTTATTTTTTTCTTTTTAAAGATTTTATTTATTTGAGAGAGCGAGAATGAGAGAGAGAGCGAGCACGAGAGGGGGGAGGGTCAGAGGGAGAAGCAGACTCCCTGCTGAGCAGGGAACCCGATGTGGGACTCGATCTCGGGACTCCAGGATCATGACCTGAGCCGAAGGCAGTCGCTTAACCAACTGAGCCACCCAGGCACCCCCTTTTTTGTTTTTAAATGCACAGAAATATCAGATTATTTTATGGTAATTTTATAACAGATATTTTCATGTTTCAAATGTATAGGTGTTTATAAAAAGTGCTAAATCAGCCAGAATTTTTGGTTATGTGCAGAGAAACCAACACTCATTAGCTTCAACAGAAAAGGAGTTTAATTGTTAGTTGAAGAATCTATAGGAGGACTGAGAAATCAGGCTTGGAAAATGGACAAAAACCCAGGGGAGCTAGGTTGCAGGAGTGACTAACCATTGTCATGGTCTAGGAATATGTGTTAGGAAGCCACAAATCTAAGATTTATACTGCTACTACTACTGCCACTTTAAATACTTCTTTTTACTGATAGCATCTTTGTGGTGCCAGCTGGAGTTCAAAGTCTAGGATAGGAGTGGTCAGGCTGAGACCTTGCTCTAGCTGCCTGGGAGGATCTCCTTCCTTTGGTTTTCTCTTTTGACCTCCAATCCAGACTCCCATAATAAAAGATTTGCCCTAAGTACGAAAGGGGTGTGGACCTAGGAAGACCCCTTTAAAAAAGGAGACCACTGTCTTTCACAATTACCCATTAAAAAATATTTTTAAACAACTCTATGTGATGACAGGTAGCTGTATATTTCTTGAAATACAAGTTAAAATTGTTAAAGGCATCTCAATTTTTAGAAAACAAGAAGGGTTGTGATATTTTACTACAAGAAAATGATTTTGATTCTTTTCAAATTAAATTTTTCTAAGAAAAAGAATCCTAGAGTACAGATCTTTTACCTCTTTGGTTAGGTTTATTCCTAGAGATCTTATGGATTTTGGTGCAGTTGTAAATGGGATTGATTCCCTGATTTCTCTTTCTGCTGCTTCATTATTGGTGTATAGAAATGCAACAGATTTCTGTATGTTGATTTTGCTCCCTGTGACTTCACTGAATATGTGTATCAATTTTAGCAATTTTTGGTGGAGTCTCAGATTTTCTATATAGAGTATCATGTCATCTGCAAATAGTAGAAGTTTGGCTTCCTCCTTGCTGATTTGGATGCCTTTTATTTCTTTTTGTTGTCTGATTGCTGTGGCTAGCATTTCCAATATGTTAAATAAGAGTGGTGAGAGTATATATCCCTGCCTTGTTCCTGACCACAGAGGACAAGCTCTTAGTTTTTCCCCGTTGAGGATGATATTAGCCATAGGTTTTTGGTAAATGGCCTTCATTATGTTGAGGTGTGTTCCCTCTAATCCTACTTTGTTGAGGATTTTTATCATGAATGGATGTTGTTCTTGGTCAAATGCCAAATTATGGAAAGAGCCCAAATATCCACTGATTAATCGAAGGATAAAGAAGATGTGATACACACACACGGAGTGAAATATGGTGTGTGTGTGTGTATATATATATACATATATATATATATATATATACACACACAGTGAAATATTGTGATATATATATAGAGAGAGAAGAGTGAAATATTACTCAGCCATAAAGAAAATGAAATCTTGCCATTTGCAATGATATGGATCGAGCTAGAGAGTATTATGCTAAGCAAAATAAGTCAGAGAAAGACAAATACCATAGATTTCACTAATATGTGGAATTTAAGAAACAAATGAACATAGGAAAAAAAAAGGCAAACCAAGAAACGTACTCTTTAGAGAGCAAACTAATGGTTACCGAGGGGAGGTGGGTGGGGGGATGGGTTAAGTAAGTGATGGGGATTAAGGAGGGCATGTATGATGAGCACCCGGGTGTTGTATGTAAGTATTGAATCACACCTGAATTCTACACCTGAAACTAATATTACACTGTATATTAACTATAACTGGAATTTAAATTAAAAAAAGAACTCCAGAAAGTAAAGGTGATTGCCAGATATATGCATATATTCATTTTTTAACATTTTTTGTAGGCAAAAGTGTTTTATATTTAAATTAAAATGTATCCAAAATATTGCTATAATTTGTAAATATAGATAAAACCAAAATGCACAGTAAACACACATATCCTTATTGCACATCTCAATGAAAGGGGTGCATGGGTGGCTCAGCTGGTTAAGTGTCCGACTCTTGGTCTCAGCTCAGGTCTTAATCTCAGGGTTGTGAGTTCAGGCCCTGAATTTGGCTCCCAGTGTGGAGCCAACTTAAAAAATAAATAAATAAAATCAAACCACCACCACAAAATCTCAATGAAAAGAAAAAGTTGCTTAAAAAATCAAATTAAGACCAGAACTACTAATTCAATTACGAAATATTTGCACTCCTGTTTCCTTAGCTTATAATTTTTTCATAGTACATTTCATGAATTACAGCCTTTTTATAAAACTACTATATATAAGAACATATATGTGCTATGATTTTTGGTTAAAAAATGGATTTGCATTAAAAATTATTTGGGGCGAGGCACCTGGGTGGCTCAGTCGGTTGGGTGTCTGCCTTCAGCTCAGGTCATGGTCCCAGGGTCCTGGGATCAAGCCCCACATCAGGCTCCCTGCTCAGCGGGAAGCCTGCTTCTCCCTCTTCCACTCCCCCTGCTTGTGTTCCTGCTCTAGCTATCTCTCTCTCTGTCAAATAAATAAATAAAATCTTTAAAAAAAATTATTTTGGGAATGTTTATTACACACATGGATGCATTTGACTCATAGGTCTTGACTCCAGTAATAATGTTAATATCTTTATTGTAAGTGAAGGTTGTAATATGGCAGATAGATCAAGTACAAACACATAACTTCTAAAGATTTTATTTATTTGAGAGAGAGAGAATGAGAGATAGCACGAGAGGGAAGAGGGTCAGAGGGAGAAGCAGACTCCCTGCTGAGCAGGGAGCCCGATGTGGGACTCGATCCCGGGACTCCAGGATCATGACCTGAGCCGAAAGCAGTCGCTTAACCAACTGAGCCACCCAGGTGCCCCAAACACATAACTTCTAAATACAGAAATGTTTTCATAGTCACAAAAGAATAATTCTAACCATCAGATTTCTGAGGTTTGATGACGTAGAAATGAATGAATGTACTTTGCAACAGGCAGGAGAAAATCCGTTTCCTATTGTGGAATTCTTATCACTTTAGTTGTCACAGTTAAACTTGTTCTAAGTTTTCAGATCCTCTTTTCCCAGGACTTCATACATTTTGGTATTTTAAAAAATTCATTCTTTCAATTTTCTGAAATGAGAAAATGCAAGTTTTTAAGCGTTGTGCTGCTCTTGTTTCCCAGTGATTGAGTTGACATGTAAAAACATATAGCAGGAAAGGAAAGGTAGTTAAACCAAAGACTTCTTATCAAAATGCTTCACACAAAATCCTAGCAGAATCTTTTCTGCAAGTCTGTTTTCTCAAAAGATCTGTCTTGGATAAAATCAATTATAAAATGTCAGTAATCTGGTACCCTACCTTGATTATAATGCTTGCTTGCTTCGATTTAGGATTTAGGCATCTTTGTCCTTTATGTGCTTTCAGGGTGATACTGTTAAGGGAAAATCCAAAACAGTTTTAAAGTTTGGATGGAAAAACATAAGCAAAACAAAAAACATAAAAAAGCTTCCCACCACTGTCATCTTTAGCAAGTTCATTACTTACATCACTTCTATTTTGTCACAGTTGTTACTCGGATAAATTATGGTCGCTTTCTCAATATCTGCCACTTTCACTGCTTTTACTCCAGGTCCTATGCAAAGACAGCGTCCCCCTTTGAACATGGGGAAGCCTAGAACAGATCACAGCATCAGTTACTAATACACCTGATTGCAACAGATGATTGTAGTTTATAATCCTGGTGAAGAATATGAGCAGGGTTTTCATTAAGGATAAAGATAGCAATTTGTCAAATAGCACTTGACACTGCTGTTACTGGGAAAGGAACATAAGTAAGATGTTGATTTTCTCCTTAAATTTGTAAACAAACCATTAAAGAATAAAGGGAAGCATGAAAATTTATTGGAGATTAAGATTATTTGCTTCTTGTTTTTGTGCTCAAGAATATTTCCAGGAAGCTAATAACATTATCTTACATAAAATCTTAACAGGCATTTAAAACTACTGCTAAAGGCTCTTGCCAGATACTGTAGGCAAATCAAAAACTCCATCAAGTTTATCAGTTCTGGTTTCACCAGTCATCTCTAGTGCCTTAAACACTTCAAACATTTTCTGTCAAAGCAGTAGTAAATTCTAATGTGTGAGGTTAAATAAAAATTTACTAAATCTTTTAAGAAAAGATGGAAAAAAAGACATTTGAAGCATTAGAAAATAAATTTATAAGCTAAGAAGTAAAAGGTACCATATACCTTGAACAGTTGTAGCACAGACTATCACAGCCAAGGCTATAACCATGCCCTTCACACTCATGTTTGTCTTTCGCAGCTGTTGCCGCTGCTTCAGTGTCAATACTCTTCTTGGAGGGAGGAGAAATGCTGAATGTGAAAGGAAGTTCTTGACTGGCATATGTAGGGCACTTTTATACACCTACAATCCTCTTGGGGCAACAGGAATTCCCCTCCTTGAGTCATGCTCTTTTGCTTCCAGGAGTTTCTATTTTGTTCCCATCTACATGTCACTGTCCTTTCCTGTTTGTTACAGTGCTGCAAGTAATAGGAATGTGAAAGCACTTTGTAAAGAGTAAAGAGCTATATAGACATAGAATCGGGTACACCCCAACGGGAACCAGCCTTCTCAAAGTAGCATTTCCTAGAAATGTATTTCGTTATGGGATTGACCATGGGCAGTGAATTCTGATTGCCATTCATTCTTTCAGTCAGGAAGATTGTCTTCCTACTCTGTCTGTTCACCCTCCATTCTTCACATCACTATACAAAAGAACATTCTTAAACAGTTTTTATCACCTTTTGCTTTTAAGTCCAAACTCTTAATATGTAAGGCCTACATTATTTGATATCAGGACTACATTATTTGACATCAAATGACTTTCATTTAACCTTATTTATATTTATACTGACTATAATTGCATATCTAAAGAAGTCTCTACTTCTGAATTTATATCCATTTGTTTTTGCATGTTTAATAGTTTTTACTTTATGTATATTTTCGCAGTGTTATTTAGTGTATGAAGTTGTCTGACTTGTGGATTTATAAAAAATGAACCTTTCTCGTGTGATTTTTTTTTACATCTTGGGTTCTACTTTAATATAACCCTTATTTTCTTTCTATGTATATTTATCTTTTCCACCCAAGCTTTCTAGCTCCATTTGTTTTAAATGGGTCATATGCAGATACTTTAAAATGTATCTAAAGGACGTTTAATGGGTGAATTTATTTACTGAGTAATTGGTAATTTGTAAACTTTTAAAAAATGCTTTCTTGCTGTTTCCTGTTTTCTTTGTTTTATTTCTTTTTTAAATTTCAGTATAGTTAACATGCAGTGTTCTCTTAGTTTCAGGTGTGTGATCTAGTGATTAAAAAATTATGTGCATTAATTGGTGCTCATCATGATAATCGTATTCTTGTTCTTTCTTCACCTATTTCACCCATCCCCCCACTCATCTCCTCTTTAGTAACATCAGTTTGTTCCCTATAGGTAAGGGTCAGTTTTTTGGTTTGTCTCTTTTTTCCTTTGTTCGTTTTTTTGTTTGTTTCTTAAATTCCGCATATGAGTGAGATCATAAGGTATTTATCTTCTCTGAGTGACTTCTTTCGCGTAGTATTATACTCTAGATCCATCCATGTTGTTGCAAATGGCAAGATTTCTTTTTTTATGGCTGAGTAATATTTCTCTGTGTGTGTGTATATTTCCATATCTATATATATAGATTTATACAAACACCTCATTTTCTTTATACATTCATCTGTGGATGGACACTTGGGCTGTTTCCACGATTTGGCTATTGTGAATAATGTAGCAATAAACATAAGGATGCATATATCCTTTTGAATTAGCATTTTCATATTCTTTGCTTAAATACCCAGTAGTGTGGTTACTGGATCAAATGGTAGTTGTATTTTTAACTTTTGGAGGAACCTACATACTTTTTCCCACAGAGACACTAGCAGTTGGCATATCTAGATTACTTTCTCACTTTAAATTAAATGTCTTTTCTTGAACATTTTTCTTATGTAACTTGAAAGGAATACATTGTTTTAAATTTTGCTAGTAATCCATAAAGTTGTTTTTTTTTTACCTTACATTTTCGCATTATTTATATCAACCATGAATAGTATCTTCTGGTTCTTTCTTTTATAAGATGAGAAAATCACTCTGTCACACATTTCCTCCTATTTCCTACTTCTGTTGCATAATCTGGGATTTAGGTAGTCTGCTGTTCTCAGATGATTATTTTATATTATTTAACTTCTCTTTTGAGAATTATAATTTACATTTTATCCTGAAATCATATATTTATTTACACATATTCCACATTTAAATTCATTTAACAACCAAAAGTTTTTAAAACCTTAGTTTTTCACAATCTTATTTTTTTATTGAGATATAATTTAGATACCAAAAAATTTACCACTGTAAAATATACAGTTAAATGTGTTTTTTGTTTGTTTGTTTGTTTTAGAGAGAGGGAATGCACTCATGAGCTCGGGGAGGGGGTTGGCAGGCAGAGGGAGAGGGAGAATCTTAAGCAGGCTCCATGCCCAGTGTGGAGCCTGCTGTAGGGCTAGATCTCACTACCCTGAGCTGGATGCTTAACTGATTGAGCTACCCAGGTCAGGTGCCCCAGTTTGTTGGTTTTTTAGTAAGGTTGTATAATACCTGATTCCAAAAACCTTATTTTCATTCCAGTATGGTTAACATACAGTGTTGTATTAGTTCCAAGTGTACAATATAATGATTCAATAATTCCATGTATTACTCAGTGCTCATCAAGATAAGTATACTCTTAATCCCCTTTACCTATTTTTTTTTTTTTTAAGATTTTATTTATTTGACAGAGACATAGGGAACACAAGCAGGGGGAGCGGGAGAGGGAGAAGCAGACTTCTGTGGACAGAGAACCCGATGCGGGGCTCCATCCCAGGATGCTGGGATCATGACCTGAGCCGAAGGCAGATGCTTAATGACTGAGCCACCCAGGTGCCCCCGCTTTACCTATTTCACCCATCTACCCACCTACCTCCCCTCTGGTAACCATTTGTTCTCTATAGTTAAGAGTCTGTTTTTTTGTATTGTCGCTTTTTATTCCTTCATTCATTTGTATCTCAAATTCCATGTATGAGTGAAATCATATGGTATTTATCCTTCTCTGACTTCTTTTGCTTAGCATTTTACACTTTAGGTCCATCCATGTTGTTGCGAATGGCAAGATTTCATTCTTTTTTATGGTTTTACCACATCTTCTTGATCCATTCATGTATGGATGAACATGGGCTGGGTTCATAATTTGGCTATTATAAATAACGCTGCAATAAGCATAGGGGTGCACATATCCTTTTGAATTAGTGTTTTCATATTCTTTGTGTAAATACCCAGTAGCATGATTACTGAATCATATGGTAGTTATATTTTTAATATTTTGAGGAACCTCTATACTTTTATCCACAGAGGCTGGACCAGATTGCTTTCCTACCAACAGAACACAAGGGTTCCTTTTCCTCTATATACTCACTAACACTTGTTGTTTCTTCTGTTTTTGATTTTAGCCATTCTGACAGTTGTTAGGTAATATCTCATTGTAGTTTTGTTTTGCATTTCCCTGGTGATGAGTGATGTTGAACATCTTTTCATGTGGTTGTTGGCCATCTATATATTTTTCTTTGGAGAAATATCTGTTCATGTCTTCTACCCATTTTTTCATTGGATTATTTGTTTTACTGGTGTTGAGTTGTGTAAGTTCTTTATGTATTTTGAATACTATCAGATATGTTATTTGCAAATATCTTCTCCCGTTGCATAGGTTATATTTTAGTCTTGTTGATTGTTTCCTTTTTTGTGTGGAAGCTTTTTATTTTGATGTAGTCCCAGTGGTTTATGTTTGCTTTTGTTTCCCTTGCCTCAGGAGACATATCTAGAAAAATGTTGCCACAGCTGATGTCAAAGAGATTACTGACTGTGCTCTCTTCTAGGATTTTTATGGTTTCTGGTATCGCATTCAGGTCTTTAATCCATTTTGAGTTATTTTTGTGTATGGTGTAAGAAAGTGGGCCAATTTCATTCTTCTGCATGTAGCTATTCTAGTTTTGCCAACACCGTTTGTTGAAGAGACTGTTTTTTTCTCATTGCATATTCTTTCCTCCTTTGTTGAAGATTAATTGACCATATAATTGTGGGTTTATTTCTGGGTTTTCTATTTTGTTCCCTTGATCTATGTATCTATTATTTTTTAAGAGATGTGGGGAGGGGAAGTGGGAGAGGGAAAGGTAGAATCTTAGGCAGGCTCCATGCCCAGTGTGGAGCCCAACACAAGCTCAGTCTCACAACCCTGAGATCATGACCTGAGCTGAAATCAAGAGACAGATGCTTAACCAACTTAGCCACCCAGGCACCCCTGTGTGTTTATTTTGTGCCATTACCATACTGTTTTGAATACTGCAGCTTTATAATATAACTTGAAATCTGGAATTGTGATACTTCCAGCTTTGATTTTCTTTTTCAAGATTGCTTTTGTTGTTCAGGGTCTTTGTGGTTCTACACAAATTTTAGGATTGTTCTAATTCTGTGAAAAATGCTGTTGGTGTATTGATAGGGATTGCATTAAATCTGTAGATTGCTTTGGGTAGGATGGACATTTTAACAGTATTTGTTCATCCAATCCATGTACGTGGAATGTCTTTCCATTTGTTTTTCTTGCCTTTAATTTCTTTCAGTGTTTTATGCTTTTCATAGTACACATCTTTCACCTCCTTGGTTAAGTTTAATTTCTAGGTATTTTATTATTTTTGATGGAATTATAAATGTGATTGTTTTCTTAAATTTGTCTGCTTCATTAGTAGTGTACAGAAATGCAACGGTTTTCTGTACATTGATTTTGTATCCTGTGACTTACTGAATTCATTTATCAGTTCTAGTAGTTTTTTGGTTCAGTCTTAAGGATTTCTATCCATAGTATCACATCATCTACAAATAGAGTTTTACTTCTTCCTTACCAATTTGGATGTCTTTTATTTCTTTTTGTTGTGATTGCTGTGGCCAGGAATTCCTGTACTATGTTGAATAAAATTGGTGAGAGTGGGTATCCTCCTCTTGTTCCTGATTGTAGAGGAAAATTCTCAGTTTTTCTTTATTAAGTATGGTGTTGGCTGGGGCATTTTCATATAAGGGCTTCATTATGTTGAGGTATGTTCCCTCTAGACCTACTTTGTTGAGGGTTATCTAGACCTACTTTGTTGAGGGTTATTGTCAAGAATGGATGTTTTACTTTGTCACATGCTTTTTCTGCGTCTATTGAAATGATCATATGGTTCTTATCTTTTATGGATGTAATGTACCACATTGGTTGATATGCAAATATTGAACTACCCTTGCA